TGGGTTACAACTTTTTATACATCTTTTATAATCATCTTACGTAGTTACGTTAAAAGAACTGACAAGAAGTTAAAAAACTAATTATCATATATATATATATATATATATATATATATATATATATATATATATATATATATATATATATATATATATATATATATATATATATATATATATATGAAATGAAAATTCAATTTAACTCTGTTCTAAGGGTTTAATACCAATTTTTTATTTTTATTTTTTTATAGGATGCAGTAGTAGCTAAAAAGCATGGAGGGCAGGAAAAGAAGGCCATGCCACCTATTAAAAAAAGAAAATCACCGCCCTCAAAAGAGAAACCCGTGATTCCGGAATCTTCTAGAAGTTTCCGGACCCGTTTGGATACACGAAAAGCCAAAAAAATAGAAGTAGAATCAAACACAAAGCAACCGGAACCCAATTCTTTACGCTCACTAAAGTCCACATGGAAAGATCTGATTGGTCAAAAGCGTAACACACCATTCACTATTCCCAACATCATCCCAACCGTTGATCAACAAAAAGATGAATCCAACGGTGATGATCATCCCGGGATCGATTTTGAAATGAAAACTAACGAAACAAGTGATTCTGATCATAAAGAAGAAGGTTCACCGGAAAAAGACGCCGGAGATACAATTCCGGCGGCGGCTAAAGGCGGTTTGTGGCGGCAGAAGTCATCATGGACACAATTGGTTAGCTCCGCGAACCATGACTCATTTAGCATTTCACAGATTGTGCCGGGTCCAAGTTTTGAAAACCATGAACCAGTTAATGATCCGAGTAACTCGGGTGGTTACTGAGTCAACCGGGAGGAAGGAAATGAGTTCAGAACGAAAGAGAAGTTTGATTATTGGGAACTTAGAATCGAAAGAATGTTGCCTGTTTATGAGGACGGAAACGTCAATGAACGAGTGGAAGAGGGCAAAAACATCAAAAAAGTCAAATGAGGGAGTTATTTGACTTATTTTAGTTCGAGTATTGATCATTTTTTGTGTTATTTTGTATCTTATTTGGTTATATGTGATAGTTACAATTTACATGAAACTCATTGTAACAAATAGGTGTCGGTTTTGATTTAATTACCTTAAAGATTGTTCGATATAGCTTAAGATTTGCTACTAAGGCCAAGTGCCAACTCATAGAAACTGGCGCTCCTCTCAAAATATACAGTAGTGGGATGTTACATTGGGATGCTATATTGCACAATAATGCGAAACATTTCTCTCAAAATATATAGTAGTAGGATGTTACACTTCTCACTAATGTATCAATATACATTAGTGGGATAATGTATCAATATACATTAGTGGGATAGATGTTATATTGTACAATAATATAAAACATGAAAAAAGAAAAGCACGTTGCTTTCTTTTTGTGTGAGGGAATTCACCACACTATTGCACACCAAATGGTGTGGTATTCACTGCACCACTCTCGTGATCAGTCTCCTCACCGTTGTGTAGAGGCTTGTACTTTGTTGTGATTAAGTAGCCCAAAATTTTTTTATTTCTTAAATTATTTACCAATTTTGTTGTGATCCACTATAAAATTTAATGTTTGCTGTAGCATTGTACATCCATATGATATTATCGTAGAAATTATAGTTTTTTTAATTAGAATCTTCTTAGTTGATCTTTTTTGTTTTGTTTTTGACAAAACTTCAAAAATGGTCCCTGTGGTTTCCAAAAATATCAAGTTTAATCCATAAGTTCAAAAAACGTCACAGATGATCCTTGTGGTTTCAAAACTTTCAACAAATGGTCCTTCTGGCTCACTCCGTTAGCATTTCACCGTTAACTCATTTTTTAATAAAATATTGCAGCGGTAATTTCATCATTTCAGTTGTAACCTTCTCTCTTTAAAAGAAATTGCATGTTCGATTTTTGGGCAAACCCTTTAACTTTACCAGTCGTCATCTCTCCTCCTTTCCACTGTTGCTCGACCGTTGCACCCTTCACGACATCCAATCGCTTCTGATTCAAAGATGGTGACTTGTAGATGTGGGAATGAAGCAATGAAGATCACTTCATGGACGGATCGTAACCCTGGAAGACAATTTTGGAACTGTAGAAGATGTGGTTTCATTCGATGGTCTGATCCTTCTATGTGTGCTAGGGCATTGGTGGTGATTCCAGGTTTGATAAGATCAATGAATCGATTGGAAGAGAGGGTTGCCATTGTAAGTGCAGAATTATGGAACTACTAGCTGATGTTGTTTTGTTCATGGGTGTTTTTTTTTTTTTGGTATTATTTGAATCTCTAAGTATCTTGTGAAGGTTTGGATGGTAATGGAGTTTTGGTTTTTGGTTTGTAACCATTGCAGGGGTTTTTTTATTTTATTTTAATCGGATATGGATTTTTTTGCTTTCAGTTTATGTAGGTGGTTTTGGAATTGGTGTTGTTGTATTTGGTTTATGTATCAGATTAATGTGTAATGCAGTTGTAATGATAATGGTAATGGAATGTAGTTTGTTATAGTTCATTGTTCAATTTTTTGAATGTTTTTGAAATGCAATTGTTAAGTGTATTGTAAATACATCTTTAAGATGGTTTTCATTTGCAATTGAAATGTACAATTTTATTAATTGATCTGTGAAGGGTAGTACACAAAACATATTAATTCATTACCAAAAAGTGCATACACACCATTACATGCAAAGTTATAAAGTTCTTAACACAACCATGATGCAAAGTTTTCAAAAGAACTACAACACAAGCATTACATGCAAAGTTTTCAAGTTCTTAACACATCTTCAAACAAGTACACATGACTTAAGTTTCTAAATACCTACAACACCAGCATCCTAATAACCACTAAAAATAGTTTTCAGCCCCCCTCCAACTTCACCACTGCCTCCCTACCCTTTACATGTTCTGGAATTGTGCCCTTTGTTATGATACTTTGAACAAGTGACTGCCAAATATTTTATGCTCAATCTACCATCTTGGCTGTTTGGCTCATCAACACCCCTCCTTCTCTTCTTCTTAGGCCTCCCAACCTACACATATTGATATACTATAGTTAAAATTGAATTCATTCCATGTTCACATGTATACTATATATTTGGTGTACTTGAAATACAAACCTGTGTCTTATGTTTTGGTGGAAGTAAAGTGAATGGGCAGTCACTTTTAGGACACATTGTACGTCCATTCAATGGATCAATTTTGTTGAAATACATGGCTTTCCATGTTGATAACCTATAGCAAGGATGGACTCATTCATCAACATGTGGGGTATTTTCACCATTTTCAATTTTGTCCCATATAGCACAAACAACATGTCTACATGGGAAACCTGTAATCTCCCAAAACCTACAACTGCAACTTTGATCATTCAAGTTTATCACATACTGGTCTTGCCATGTGCTTGCCACTTGGTACTTTCCCGCCCCATTGTATTTAGCCACATACTTTGATGCATCAGTATTAATCTTTTCAAACAGTGTAGTTGCAGTAGGGGTTAGAAGTCCTTCACACTTATCTATTTCCTTTTGCACCACACATAACCTCTTCATGAGATACTCTCTAATATACTCTAAGCAAGTGATAATAGGTTTATCCATACCTTCATTTAGCTTAGAATTGAATACCTCACAAAGGTTATTCAACAAACAATCCGTATGTGCCCTTCCTGAATAATAGATATTAAGAGAAGACAATTACACATATAGTAAACACACAACAGGGAAGATTAACATTTCTCAATAAATTTCTAGAAAATTACCACTAAAGTGAGATTTAGCCCAAGTGTTTGCTGGGATATTAAACACCCAAGCATGAGCCTCTTCATTGATCTTCTTAAACTCATCCATTGCTCTGTTAAAATGATTGACTATTGTTGCTCTACCACACTCCCAAAGATGGTTACTTAAGTCTTTTTCTTTCCACTATTTCTTCATGTTTTCCTGGATATGCCTCAAACAGAACCTGTGTTCTGCACTAAGGAATACCTTCTCCATTGCTGGTATTATTCCCTAAAAGAAAGTAAATGTATGCAACATCAGTTAATCAAATGTATTTAGAAAAGGTAATAAAAAAGTTAGGTGATACACACCTTTTGTCTATCTGAAATGAAGGTAAAGTTTGAATTTGGTCCTAAATCCAGATCTTATCCTAACAGTTCCAAGAACCAGGTCTTGTGGTAATAGACAGGGAGGTTTCTGGATACACATCAATCCGAACTGTTGTACCAGGATTAGTGTTGAGTAGCTCCAACACATAATCCCTCAAAAATCCATACTGTACTTGGTAGTCCCCACTAATGATACGCTCAGCCATTGACTTTTCCCTAGTAACCTTTTGCAATGACATTCCTACCTCCAGTTTCTTGCACAAATCTTCGTGTAAAGCTTTCACTGGAATTTTAGGGTTACTCTATATTTGTTGAACAATTAAGTTTGCTACCTATCTGGAAGTGCAAACTTTAATCGCCCTTGTTTGCAAACATTTATGCTCATCCTGTACTGTTTTCACCAACCAATCCTGATTTTCATTAGCCCTCGATATTTGGACTGCCCATGGACATGTACCTTTATTGGCAATTATACCTTTACCCTTGCACTTTGCCCTACTTGTAGTTGAGGGCCCACCACCATCAACTCCTGTAGAAGGCTTACTTACAACACCTTTACATTTCACCCTAATCTGGATTTTGTCATTTTTGGCTATGTATAAAGACCTCCTTGTTGCTACAGCATGTGAGTTCATGTAGTTTTTAACATCAAGCTTGGTTTTGAAGACCTGGCCAATCTGGATTGGTTTAACATGAACCTCTCCATGTGAGCATGTACTTGACTTACTCAACTCTTTTAGCAGTCTCTTCCTATCATCTTCATGAAATCCTGCAAATTAATAATCATTAGTGGCAATAACTTCAAACTCATCATCAACCATGTCAATCCTTTCATCTTTTGAATGATTGTTCAAGATTCCATGTTCATCTACATCAACAACATTATGGAATTCACTCATGTCTATACATCTACATCAAATTGTATGTTAGACTCATCCACATTGTATTCACTGTCATCAGAATCATCTCCACTATCCTCAGAACCATGACCACTCTCAGAGTAGAAAGCCTCTCCACTATCATCACTCACCATACCCTCTAGATAATCCAGTTCTGGTTGTTTTTCAAATGAAGTTTGAACATTAAACTCAACATCATAATCAACATAAAGTGAGTAATCCTCTATAAATGGTTCATAGTCATCAATTGTTGTAGTAGTAGCTCCATCATCAGCTTGGCAACTTGGTTCCTGTACATGTTAAGTTCCCAATGGTTCTTTAGTTTCAACTGCACTAGTGATCACTTCTTCTTGAGTTTCAATTTCATGATTCACCACTTCCTCTTGAATGACATGACTTTGTTTGCCTTGTGACCTTATAAATGGTAGAATACTCTTTGAGTAATGATATTGCCATATTTATACCTATTTTTAGGCAATATTTAAGTACATTTTTATTAATAAGTTGATAATATGTTTAGAATAATGGTACTTATGACTTTAAATTGTTATTTTCAGTCAATTAAAAGGATTTTCGAAGAGAGGGACCAAAAGTGACAATATGTAGAACATGGGAGACTTGGAAGACAAGAGATGAGCAAATCCACGAAAGTTACTAAACCCACGACGTGGCATGAGATATCTAGAAGATAAAGATTGCGATTCGGAGGAATCCTTGCCCGGTACGGATAACTTGGAGCCCACGATGTGGTGCGGGATTTTGGAGTCTATTTATGTAACATTCGGAATTTCAGGTATTATATTTATTCATTTTATTTTGAGTTTTGTGGAAGAACTCGACGAGTTGGTGCGTAGACTCGCCGAGTACAGACACGATTTCTCAGCCGAATTAATGACCGGACTCGACGAGTCGCATTGGTGGACTCGGCGAGTCCGCGTTGTTTAATAAAACCCTAATTTCTCAGGTTTGGGGTGTCACAACTGGAAATTTTGTGTCATGTAATCCATACATTCAAGCTAATGTGAATCAAAAACTTCAATCAAATACATTATACAAGTACTACAAATAGTCATCAAACAATTGGAAAACCCTAGAAGTCCTTGTTAAGTCCATTTTGGACTAGAACTTCCTTATTGGATCCAAATGGACCAATAAGCCTCCAATAAGACTATCATGGACTTAGAACTCTAATTGGGCTCTAATTGGACCCACATTCATTTATTTCAATATTTTGGGCTAGGTAGAACCTAGAATGAAATAAATTAACGACTTTGAACCATAATTAACCTAATTTGACCCTAACAAGTCATAAAAATCACATTTAAATTGATTTGGACTAACAACCATCCAACTTAACATCTACATGGGCTTAGGACATTAAAGCCCAAATTTTCCTCCTTCCATTCCAAAACCTCGGCCAAGGCCCAAAACAAGCCCAAGATGAAGAGTTGACTCCATCATGCCACCTCATTTTTACCCATAGGTTCTCCATGCAAAATCTCATTCATCCATGCAAGCATCACCTCAAGGTCTTTTCTTCTCTCTCTCTCCCTCTCCCTTCTTGTTTCGGCCGAGAATAACCAACACACACACACCTCACAACTCTCTCTAAATTCTCTCAAGAAACTCTCTCCTTCCTCTCCAAAAATTTCGAGAATTCTAAGAGGATTTCAAGAGGATTTTGCAAGATTAACATCATCTTAAGTAAGTTTTTACTTAATTCTATGATCTAGCTTCCTTGATCTATCAAATACCTCTCCTTAATTCATGAGAAATCATGATCTTGCATCTTAGAAACACCTCAAGGCCGAGATCTTCATCAAGGGGTGCTAAGGCCGAAAATCACCAAACTTTCTTCTATTCTTTCTTCAAAAACCGAACCAACACCCAAGGTGAGTTTCATATCCCCTTATTTTCGGTTTTTATGAGTTTTTGTGGGGGAGAATACAAGAAAAAGTGTAGATCCATCATTATGTGTATGTTGTGGTTGATTTCTATGCTTACATGTATGTTTTGTATGATTTTATTGATAGATCTAGGGTGATATGCTAAAAACCGAAACATACATTTTATCATAGCATAAAATAGACTATCATATGCAAAGTATACTAAGAAAATGGCTACATAGCTTGACAACACTTAACTTGGACTAAAAACTCATTTTTTTTTGACATAAAATGTTGAAAATACAAAGTTAAAGGGCCTAAAGTGCAATATCTCGAAATCTGATGGGTGAGATGAGTCAAAACAGTTTACACAAAGAATTTTCTGAAAAGATACTAATTAAAGGGTTAAAAACATAAATTCCAAGCTTATTGGCTTAAGTATGACATTTTCGGCCCAATAAGGCCCAATATGCAAAATTTTCTAAATTGGAGGGCCAAAACTGCATTTTTCTGTAAAACAGTGGACTATAAGTGTCCCATGTGCTTTTCAAGGGTTTACAATGCTTTTCAAATTTAAAGGGGACCAAAATTGTAAAATTTTTCCAAATTGGGTCAAAAATGTAAAAGTTGCGAAAAACAAGGGCTATAACCGAGAAAACTGAAATTTTCAAGGGTTTAAACTGTTTTCTATGATAAAAATGCTAGAAAATACTTATTTCAATAATTTTTGGTATAAAAATGTCAAGAAAATTTGTTTAAGGACCAAACCGGAAAGTTTTTAAATAAAGGGGTGAAAAGAGTAAATTCCATAATTAAGGAAGGGCTGAAAACAGAAAATCTTCAAGGCTAGTTAATACATTCAATTTGATCAATTAATGGAACCACGCTTGTCGACGAATTACAATACACTCCAATACCAAAAGTCGTTGTTAAACGAATTGGTTCGGTCTCGAACCAATAAAAATCCAAAACCACTAACACGACGAAGTTACGACATTTCGATTCATAACTAATAACGATGGGGAATTCACGATACCTACGAGTGTGCGCAGACGTCTATGCACCATCTTTGGGCCCAAAAGTGTAAAATCTTGTTCGTTGAGCCTAGCTAGCCCAATGACCTGATCTTAAGGCCCGAAGGTCTCTCTCTCACTTACGAAGTGTTGGGTTTTACCGATCCGACATGACGTAACAGGACTTTCAATGGCATACATACTGCTGGACCCCAAGGGTTTTTCAGTGCTGCTAGTAAAGTCGGTAACTCACGATTGCGGGCTGGGCTTCGGGCCCTTCGCAATTGCATTTATCCCAATCGACGCGGGGAAATACCGAGGGTTTCGCACCTTCTCTCCTTCCCTCCGGTCGTGGGACTACACAAGTCCGGGAGGATCGAGTTGTGTGAAGAATTACGAGTGGTGCCTAAGGGATCGCTTGTAAGGTTGTCGATTGGACGTCTTCGTCGTCGTACGTCACAACACTTCACCACTCATTGTATTCTCAATGCCTCCGGAGCTCAATGATTCACTCTAACGAAACGAAACAACGGTATACAAACTAAGTAATACAAAGTGAAAGGAAAACGTCGGGTTTTCCTAGGGTTTTCAATAATTACAAATTATGAATTACCGGTCGAATTTTTTTACAACTATTACGCTTACATAAATAGAATTCAAACATGCATACTCATGGATCAACACATATTTTACACTATTTTATTATTAGAAAATATCGGATTTTCTGATGGGTTTCAAACATTACATTGGATTTCAAACTCTACTTATGAACTCACCAACATTTCGTATGTTGACGTTTTCAAAATACTTGTATTCTCAGGTAACAGATAAGGTGATGGATGATTTATACTCTATGATGTTTGCGGTAGTTTAAGTGATGTTAAACAGTTATTTTGAGAATGTAACGTTTGAACAATGTAACGAATGTAAACACTAACGGTTGTACTATTCCAAATGTTGGTGATGTTTTATGTTATGTTTCATGTATATGCATTGTGACGGTATTCAATGAGTCACGATAGCCCTCAGACGTTTCCGCCGTCTGGTTCGGGGGTGTGACATGGGGCCTATTTAAAGGGCCTTATGGCCGTCATTTGTGCTCACCAGCCCCCAGAGCGAAACCCTAGTGAGCTTGAGCATTTGGAGTGAGAGAAGGAGCCATTGTCGACCTTGGAGGTGTTGTTTAGCAAGGGAAAGGAAGTTATAGCCAATAGGAAGCAAGAGGGTTAACTTCCTGAAGATCTGAGGTCCAGAACATCACGTTTGAGGTACCATTTTCGAACCATTTTCTGTTGAGGTGATGTTCATGTTGATTTAGGGCTTATTGAGCCCTTTTGTGACTAGATCTAGTGCTTCCATGGTCCCTTAAGCGAGTTAGGTTCTTGATCTGGATCCTTGGAGGTCCAGAGTAAACTTTACGTGATAAATACGCTTGGAAAGACTGGATCTATGAGTTAGTGGAACAGATCTGACCTCAGAAGGTTGTTTGGGGTTGTGCATGGAATGCACTCGTCGAGTCTATTGGCAGACTCGGCGAGTTGGAGCGAGTTGTTCTGTGTTTTCAATCCAGGGGTTGATTAACCGAGTTGGGTGAGTGACTCGGTGAGTCGGAAGTGATTCAGAGGAATCGGGTCCCTGTAGGGACTTGACGAGTCCACACCAGACTCGGCGAGTTGGGTTGACCGTTGACCATTGACCAGAGTTGACCGGTGTTGACTTGATAGAGTTAGTCAACCCTAGTTGGGAAACTGTTAATTAGAGTTCTGTTTGTGTTATAGGAGGACTGTAGCTCGGGAGATCGAGCACTAGTGATTTCAGGGATTTACGAGTTACCGAGATACGCGAGGTGAGTCTTCTCATTATGCTTTACCTTGAGTAGGTAACCAGAGTTATGTGACAGAGTATTTGTATGCTGTGTATGTTATGTGTTGTACTGCATTATTTCTATGTGATTTATGTTGTGCATGTTTACAGAGTTAGAACCGGAAGGTTCCCAAAGTTAGAACCGGAAGGTTCACAGAGTAGGGTCCACGGACCCACAGAGTTATAGCCTCGAGTGGCTAATATGTGTTACGTGTGGTATTTTGGGGAACTCACTAAGCTTCGTGCTTACAGTGTTTTGCGTTATGTGTTTCAGGTTTCTCTCAGGATCACGAGACGACACCGGCTCGATTGTACACACCAGAGAAAGAGTCATGTTTTGAGAGTCCTGGTTTATTATGCAAGTGAAAATGGAGTTATGTTTTGTAATTCGATTATGAATAAGATTTTAAGAAAAGTGTTTTTAAGAATTAAATGATTATTTTTAAATGAAAAATTGTTTTGAAATTTTTGGTGTTACAAGTTGGTATCAGAGCCTTGGTTTGAGGGATTCGGACGCGCCTTCGGGTAAATCTGGACTCAAACTGAGGAAGTAAGAAAAGTTTTCAAAGAAATAATTTTCTAAAGCGAGTAAGAGTTCAAATAGAAAGCGAGAAAAATGCAGTGTGTACAATCAGCCAGAGCCCGAACGGTGATTTCCCAAAATACCGCTTACTTTTGTGTTATGAGATATTTA